ATACATCACTTGGAGAATGAACAATAGGTTACTGAATGATCAATGGGTTATAGAAGACATCAAGGAGGAAATTAAAAAATTCTTAGAGATTAATGAAAACACAGACACAACATATCGGAATCTATGGGACACATTGAAAGCAGTTCTAAGAGGAAAATTCAGTGCTTGGAGTTCATTCCTTAAAAAAAGAAAAAACCAACAAATAAATGATCTCATACTTCATCTCAAAATCCTTGAAAAAGAAGAGCAAAACAACAGCAAAAGAAGTAGAAGGCAAGAAATAATTAAAATCAGAGCTGAAATTAATGAAATCGAAACAAAAGAAACAATTGAAAAAATTGACAAAACTAAAAGTTGGTTCTTTGAAAAAATAAACAAAATCGACAGACCCTTAGCCATGCTAGTGAAGAGAAGAAGAGAGAGAACTCAAATTACTAGCATAGGGGATGAAAAAGGCAATATCACAACAGACACTTCAGATATACAGAAGATAATCAAAAATTATTTTGAATCCTTATACTTCAATAAATTAGAAGATAGTGAAGGCATCGATAAATTTCTTAAGTCATATGATCTGCCCAGATTGAGTCAGGAGGATATAGACAACCTAAACAGACCAATATCAATTGAGGAAATAGAAGAAACCATCAAAAGACTACCAACTAAGAAAAGCCCAGGACCGGATGGGTATAAAGCAGAGTTTTACAAAACCTTTAAAGAGGAACTAATACCAATACTTTTCAAGCTACTTCGGGAAATAGAAAAAGAGGGAGAACTTCCAAATTCATTCTATGAGGCCAACATCACCCTGATACCTAAACCAGACAAAGACACTTCAAAGAAAGAAAACTACAGACCAATATCTCTAATGAACCTAGATGCAAAAATCCTCAATAAAATTCTGGCGAATCGAATACAAAAACATATCAAAAAAATTGTACACCATGATCAAGTAGGATTCATCCCTGGGATGCAACGATGGTTCAATATACGGAAATCAATAAATGTTATTCACCACATCAATAGACTTAAAAATAAGAACCATATGATCATCTCGATAGATGTGGAAAAAGCATTCGACAAAGTACAGCATCCCTTTATGTTCAAAACTCTAGAAAAACTAGGGATAACAGGAACATACCTCAATATTGTAAAAGCAATCTACGCTAAGCCTCAGGCTAGCATCATTCTGAATGGAGAAAAACTGAAGGCATTCCCTCTAAAATCTGGAACAAGACAGGGATGCCCTCTCTCTCCACTTCTGTTCAACATAGTTCTCGAAACACTGGCCAGAGCAATTAGACAGACGAAAGAAATTAAAGGCATCAAAATAGGAAAAGAAGAACTTAAATTATCACTATTTGCAGATGATATGATTCTATACCTAGCAGACCCAAAAGGGTCTACAAAGAAATAATTAGAGCTAATAAATGAATTCAGCAAAGTGGCAGGATATAAAATCAACACGCATAAATCAAAGGCATTCCTGTATATCAGCGACAAATCCTCTGAAATGGAAATGAGGACAACCACTCCATTCACAATATCTTCAAAAAAAATAAAATACTTGGGAATCAACCTAACAAAAGAGGTGAAAGACTTATACAATGAAAACTACAGAACCCTAAAGAGAGAAATAGAAGAAGATCTTAGAAGATGGAAAAATATACCCTGTTCATGGATAGGCAGAACTAACATCATCAAAATGGCGATATTACCCAAAGTTCTCTATAGGTTTAATGCAATGCCAATCAAAATCCCAACGGCATTTCTTGTAGAAATAGAGAAAGCAATCATGAAATTCATATGGAAAAATAAACGACCCAGAATAGCAAAAACAATGCTAAGCAGGAAGTGTGAATCAGGCGGTATAGCGATACCAGACTTCAAACTATACTACAGAGCAATAGTAACAAAAACAGCATGGTACTGGTACCAAAACAGGCAGGTGGACCAATGGTACAGAATAGAGGACACAGAAACCAATCCACAAAACTACAACTACCTTATATTTGATAAAGGGGCTAAAAGCATGCAATGGAGGAAGGATAGCATCTTCAACAAATGGTGCTGGGAAAACTGGAAATCCATATGCAACAAAATGAAACTGAATCCCTTTCTCTCGCCATGCACAAAAGTTAATTCAAAATGGATCAAGGGGCTTGATATCAAATCAGAGACACGGCATCTGATAGAAGAAAAAGTTGGCTACGATCTACATACTGTGGGGTCGGGCCCCAAATTCCTCAATAGGACACCCATAGCACAAAAGTTAATAACTAGAATCAACAAATGGGACTTACTCAAACTAAAAATTTTTTTCTCAGCAAAAGAAACAATAAGAGAGGTAAATAGAGAGCCTACATCCTGGGAACAAATCTTTACTCCTCACACTTCAGATAGAGCCCTAATATCCAGAGTATACAAAGAACTCAAAAAATTAGACAATAAGAGAACAAACATCCCAATCAACAAATGGGCCAAGGACCTGAACAGACACTTCTCAGAGGAGGACATACAATCAATCAACAAGTACATGAAAAAATGCTCACCATCTCTAGCAGTCAGAGAAATGCAAATCAAAACCACCCTAAGATACCATCTCACTCCAGTTAGATTGGCAGCCATTATGAAGTCAAACAACAACAAGTGCTGGCGAGGATGTGGGGAAAAGGGTACACTTGTACATTGCTGGTGGGACTGGAAATTGGTGCAGCCAATTTGGAAAGCAGTATGGAGATTTCTTGGAAAGCTGGGAATGGAGCCACCATTTGACCCAGCTATTCCCCTTCTTGGTCTATTCCCTAACGACCTAAAAAGAGCATGCTACAGGGACACTGCTACATCGATGTTCATAGCAGCACAATTCACAATAGCAAGACTGTGGAACCAACCTAGATGCCCTTCAATAGATGAATGGATAAAAAAAATGTGGCATTTATACACAATGGAGTATTACTCTGCATTAAAAAATGACAAAATCATAGAATTTACAGGGAAATGGATGGCATTAGAGCAGATTATGCTAAGTGAAGCTAGCCAATCCCTAAAAAACAAATGCCAAATGTCTTCTTTGATATAAGGAGAGTAACTAAGAACAGAGTAGGGTCGAAGAGCATGAGAAGAAGATTAACATTAAACAGGGATGAGAGGTGGGAGGGAAAGGGAGAGAGAAGGGAAATTGCATGGAAATGGAAGGAGACCCTCAGAGTTATACAAAAGTACATACAAGAGGAAGTGAGGGGAAAGGGAAAAATAATACAAGGGGGACAAATGAATGTCAGTAGAGGGGGCAGAGAGAGAAGAGGCGAGGGGAGGGGAGGGGAGGGGGGAAAAAAGAAAGAATTGCTGGGACAAATGTCAGATGTCACAATAAGGGAAATAGTCTTTAAGCCCTAAGCTGTGAGAAATTGACTCATTGTAGGAGAAAAAGATGGAATCACAGGACCCACTTCAATGACTCATCAATATGGATTCCCATGGTGGGTAGCAAATTTCATTATGGCCCTTTGGGGATAAAATGCACAGCCCAAATGAAGCTCTTACTTGCATCAGTGTCTTACTTGCATCACCTTTATTCACAAGGAAGATGCTTCTAGTTATCTAATATAAGCTTCTGGTACCCCAGAATCTTATCCATTCCTATTCCTCATTTTGCATCTGGTTCCTAATTGCCAAGCGGACATGCCAGGATTGATTTACAGTACATTGAGAATGTCTGAGACATTTCAGAGGTAGCATAGGACTCACTGAAGAGTTTAGGATTATTTGCTGGTCACTATGACTTCCTGATTCATCTGTGGTTAAGTATGTAATAAAAGTTTTAACCCATTGTTTTTCCTGTTTTTATATTGCATATGAATCATTTGTTGTCATTTTCTTTCATAGAATTTTCATGTAAATGTATAAAATGATATAAGGTTTTTGTGTGTTAAAATTAGCATTTCTATTTTTTATCATGTAAATTTCAGTCCATCCTCTTTACTTCTGTATCACACACACACAATCAAATCTATATATAGACACTATGTCAGATACTTTTGACTATTAGCTATAACATACTTTAATGTGAATCTTTATTTTTGATATAAGTTGATCTATTAAAACATAAAAACAATGAATTATTTGTAAGAAAACATAATAATAATAAAAATTTAATAAATAATTAGGACCAATTTAGAAAGGAGTATGAAATTATATTTTAGTTGCAGTTATAAACATCATTTTTTAAAAAAGAAGCTACTGCAGACATTTCCAAGAATAAATGGGAGATCTCTGTTTCTGGAAATGAAGGGATAGATGCCCACAGACCAAGCTCTGTGGAGTCAAAATGGGATCTGTTTTGAGGAAAAATAGTCTGTTGTACCCCAAAAGTGACCAATACCCATTTCACTGGAAAGGAAATAAATGTTCACCAGGGAGAGTTGGATTTGCAATAAAATATATGAACCCGGTAGACATGGAGAATTACCCTTGTTTTCATTCCATCTCTGACTTTCCAAAGATTGCATCTATACCTGAGTTGCTGAAGTGTGAGGAAGCTAATACGGTGAAAGACATCATTAAAATTCATGTGATCTTAGTTCCCCTGTAATCACTGATCTATGTGAGTTCCCTGCAGCTGCTTCTTTTGTCATTTCTTCCAGTGGACATCAGAGTGAACACTGGGGCAGGAAGAGAAATAAAGTTGATTTGCATAATAAACCTTCCTCTGGGCCTGGAGAGGCATTAAAATGCCCAGAGGATACCAAGATCAAGGTAAGGAGTATAAGGACACCAAGTGTGTGTGAAGGACCCAACCATGGCCTGGATGATGATTCTACTCATGCTCCTCTCTTATGGATCAGGTCAGGGGAAAGGACCCTGAATCCTTGAAGTGCCTGAATCAAGCTGACCTTTATCTTCATAACAATAACTATCTCTCTTACTGGTTTTAGGGGTGGATCCTCAGAATATGGTGACCCAGGAGCCCTCATTCTCTGTGTCTTCCAATGGAACAGTGACACTCACCTGTGGCCTTAGCTCTGGATCAGTCTCCACAGGTTACTACCCCAAATGGTGCCAGCAGATGCCAGGACATGCTCCCCACACAATTATCTACTACACACACATCCGCCCCTCTGGGGTCCCTGATCGATTCTCTGGTTCCATCCTTGGAAACAAAGCTGCCCTCACCATCACAGGGGCTCAGATTGACAACGAAGCTGATTATTACTGTGCACTCTTTATGGGTAATGGCATTCACACAGTGATCTAAACCCATGGAGAAGTAAACCAAAACCTCTTCAGTGCTCAGAATGTCTCATGTTTTACATGCTGGAGAGAGACTGAGAGGGTGAAAATGTTCCACACTTTCATGGGAGGTGAGGCTGCATTTTTCAGAAATTTTTTAGAAACTTTTCCAGAAATACCACCCATCTTTCAGTTGCAGTTTGCAATGAGATCATTGATCTTTTCAATGACTCTATATTTTTAATCAGTTTCTGAATGTTTTAGGGATTATAGTTGCAACACTGGAGTAATTAGGATATGGATGGTGGGTCTGAGTGCATATTAATCATAAATAACAAATAAATTCAGAACAAAATTATAGAAGAAGAGTTGCTTCCCAAACAGTTATATTCATACAATTTCCTGGTTCTTTGTAAATATAGATTCTTGAGCACCAAGACACTTTTCTGAATCAGGATCTGGGATGGGGAATTGAATTTGTAACTAGTTTCCAAGTAGTGCTTACATTTTATAGAAAATTAATCATTAATCTGATCTCCATAATCAAATTAATGTATGAGAAAGGATTAATCTTAATTTTTTAATGTTTTGAATGAGAAGAGTCTTAAAGGTTCTCTGATTCTTCCTGATGGTTACGTATTTGGAAAGGAGCTCCTCTGCTCATCGTCCCAACCAAAGAGGGAGAATAGAAGCCTAGTGTAGCAGGCACACTGAGAAATGGATACAGCATAGGAGAGAGTTTGAGGCACATGGCATGTACCACTGGTATGACAAGTGAGATAAAAGTAATCTTACTTCATTGAAAAAGCACAAGCTGATTTCTCCTGATCATTTGCTAGTCTGTAAAAGGTAATTTAGTGGATATCTCAGTCAGTCTTTCAAAGCATAGACTCTCCTGGCGAACCCAAAGGGTTTTCCTCTTGTAGAGAGAATACATCAGGTGTAATCTGTGACCTCCCCATGTAGCTCTAAAGCTAGCTGCTGTGCAGGACGCATTTTGGAAGAAACAAGTCAGTGAAAGGTTATGAGTGCCCCGTGGATAAAGATTTGTAGTCAGGACATGAAGTTGCCTAAATGGAAGGGCTGGGCTCATGTTTCCTCAAAGCCTTCAGTTGCTGGGTATCTATGAAGTGATAACAAGAAATCATAAAATAATATATATTATTTAAGTGCCTGGTTGAGATGTTGTCTCAAATACTGGTCTTTGAGATATATTTTATTGATCTGAATTAACTCATATAGAAGGAGGTATCTACATGGAAACCTGGGACCAGTCTTTGAATTCCTTACATAACTCTAGTGTCTGGTGATGTGAAGCATCTCTAATTATTTCTCTTTTTAAAAAATTTTAGTTGTAGATGAATACAATACCTTTATTTTATTTATGTATGTGATGCTGAAGATCGAACTGAGTACCTCACGCATGTGAGGCAAGCACTCTACCACTAAGCTAAGCCCCACCCCTCTAATTATTTCTTAAAAAATTAATGAGTAAAAGAAGAAACTGATAGCTCCTCTGAGTTCCCTATTGATGGTTAATAGCAGTCGACATCCAATAGAGGGGGGAAATGATTTCCTGTAGCACTGATTGTCTCTGAAATTACTAAGTCATTTCCACCTTTTCATACCATGGTCTCAGTGTGACAAATATACAACAAAATCTCCTCCGACTTGCTCTTTCACCTGGCCTAAACTTTGTGAGTCTGAACACAGGTATTGCTTTCCCCTCCCCACTGCCCCTCTCCCACATGAGGTTCATTCATGTGTCACACCTAAGAGACACTTGTCATTTCACTTCTTTCCTATTTCCTCTGCTCTCATCTTACACCATACACCAAAAAAATGTCTCCTGCCAGATGTCTTTGTTCCAATTTTGTTTTACAATACCCCCAGAGCTGATGCTCTAATATGAGATATAATGGTGAGCACAATCCTGGTTAAATATATTCTGGTCAGTGGAGAAGTAACCTTAACCTATACAGAGGTAGAAATGGGATTTCCAAAGAGTTAGTACTGAATGTATCATTGTTTTGTGTTCACATAGGAACCACCTCAAGGAATGCCCTCAATAAAAACAACCCTCAAATTTATAAATACAGAAGGTGTGAATTCTCATTTGACTTTATTCATCCATTGGGTGTATTTTTACATTTACCTATAATAAGGAGGTTTTACAATTATTTAGAAATATGCTTCCTTTTTAGGCAACAATTCACATTCAGTGAGTGAAAAAACAGGTATATTCATACTGAGCTACACACAGCACCAGCTCTGGAGAGGTGTGGGATGGTGCAAATTGCTATGAAATGGAAACATGAGGAAATCATTCTACATCACCCAGACCTCACAGAAGACCTTCATCTTGACAGGTGAGTACAACTGCCACAAGGGTAAACTGAGGTAGGGAGGTCCTGGCAGAGGGGAGGGAAGGGAGTTTGTCCCTAGGGGAGATGAAGAACAAGGACCATGGAGGAGGGACCTGCTGTGGCAGCTGCAGAGTTGACACCACAGAAGGTCTTACCCAAACAGGTGAGGGAGTGGTGTCCTCCTGGGGCCTAACTCTGCCCTGAACAGAACTTCAGAGCCTGAAGATTGGGGTCCATGGTGACTTTCATCCAATCAGACAGCTTGAGGCAGAATTCTAATTACTAAGTTTGAATCATACAAGAAGATCATAGGAGGGTTTTAGGAAGTACACCGCTATGTAAAACCAGGCACAATAAAGAGGAGTCTGGAGGAAGGGGCTCCATCAGACTGATGATCACCTCTATCTGTGAGCAGAGGGGAAAGGCAGAATAATATGACTCTAAGCTCTTAGGATGGGTGACTGAGAGGAAGACGGTGGTTCTACAAACTAAATAAAACACAGCACTCAGGCTGCTCAGGTTGCTGCCTCCATTTCTTCTCCTCAGCTATTGAAATCTGTCAGTGGCATTTAAGGCTAGTAGCAGTTTCCTGAAATCCAGAAGCAGAAACTGCAGGGTGTTCTTGAAAGACACAGAAGGAACAGGGTCACTAGAGAAGGACATTCATGTCAGGAATTATTACCTCAAGGAAAAAAAGGATTTCACAGGATAGTCTAAATTTCTCATATTAGGAAAATCCTTCCTCCTTCCTTCCCTCTTTACCTCCCCCACTCCTGCCTTTTTTTCCTTCCTTCCTTCCTCTAACTGTGAGGAATAGACAAAATAGGTCCCCTTGTGGTTTTCTTCAGATTTAATTAAAATTTATTTCTCTACCTTCACCTGTTTCTCTCAACTTCAATGACCTCTCAACTTAGATTCTTTCTTTCCTCAGCCCAAGTTCCAGTTGCCCTTCAATTGAGAAAGGGGAAAAAAAAGAAAGATCTTCTCTAGTCCACAGTAGATCAGGAAGTTCTTTTCTTCATGACTAAGCCCAATTCCACCAGCATATACAGAGTTTTCTTTTGACTATCCCTTTCTCTAATTTTATCTCTAAATGTGAAGCAAGAATATTTGTAATCTTTACACTAAGCAACACAAAACACATTTTATAAAATGGCCAATATTTAAGAAAGAGCATGTATACTTGTGTCAGTAGCTCTCAGAAAGAGTCCCAAAGTTATCTGTGATGATAGCAATCAACATCCAGGGGTCTGATTGCTTCTCTGGCTCTAAGTCAGGAAACTCAACCTTGCTCATCACTGGGCTCCAGCTTAAGGATGAGGCTATTACTGTCAGTCCTATGACAGTAATCCCAGTGCTCCAGGCTCACGGGAAAGTTAGACAAGAACCCCTTTATCATCTCTCAGGAGAACAAATGCCCAGCAACTCTGGCCAGGTGGCTTATGCTACCTCTATATGGGCCCAGCTGAATCTACTGGCACTGCTTTGAGGGAGGAGCACTCCCTCCTCTATCATCAGAATCATCCAAAGCAGCTTGTTCCTAGGAAAATGACTCTGTATAAACAGAGAGTACTGAGTACTGATCCTCTTTAAGTTGAGGATTGGAATGGATGCTGTGGTCTCTTACCTTAAAGTTCAGGTAATGAGGCAGCCAGTTCAACCCTGGTCATCTCAGACTTATCCTCTCATGGGGAATTCTGTGACTCCATCATCCATTGCTCATTGTTTTCAGGAATTCTATAGCTGTGTCATCTTCTCCTTGGGCCTATTGTGTACATCTGTGATTCACGTTTTAGGTTAATTTTATATACATTTTCTAACATGGAATATTTACAGATAATAAAACAAACATAAGTGAAAACTTTGATGAATTTTTAGATATTTTCACACCTTTGGAATCATCAGCACAATCAGGCCAAGGAATCCACCCCACAGCCCCCAAGCCTCCTTTGCCATTTGGGAATCTCCCTTTTATCTCAGTTCACATCTCTCCCCAGGCAACCACTTACTTTCTCTTTGTGACTGAGGGTCAGTTTTTCCTTTTTGATAAAATGTACAATTGGAGGAAAAACAGTCAAATTTCCCTCTTGAATGACTTCTTCCAATGTGTAAATTCCTTTTGAGACTCTTCCACATTGTGTTGAATTTCACATGATTCTACTGATGACACATCATGACCTTTGTGGTCCCTGGACACTTCTGTTTTCATGAAAAATTTCTCTGATGCCATGCATATTAAAACTGTATTTTCTAACTCCATCAGAATAGAAAGATATATAATTAAGCCTATATTGCATTCATATTATTTATTATTTAAAATTAGCTATAGTAAATTCTCTTGCGGCCCTAAGACTGTTGGGTCTTCTTAACACATTCTTTTCTGCCTTGATGGATGCCCAGAATCTCTTGCTTTTTGTACTATTGTTTATTATTCACTTTAACCAATGCTTACAATATTTTTTTTCTAATTTTGTAAAGACAATGTCTTAATTCATTTGGAATTTGCTATGACAGAAAATGATGAAATGGGTAAAATATAAACAGTATAAGTTCATATGGCTCATGATTCTAGAGGCTGGGAAGCCCAGCAATTTGGCACTGGCCTCTGGATGTGGCTTTTGTGCTTTACTATAACAGACAGAAAGACAACTGGGCCAAT